GCATATCACCGCAGCACATCAAGCCTCAAGTATCACCTCAATGCAAAACATATAGCAGCTAGCGTGGAAGCTAGCGTGGACGTTAGCCCGACTCGGAGTACAAGGACCCACACCCAATTCGCGTTGATCAAACAGTGGCCTATGCAACAGAGAGATTTTATTTTTCATCAGGATATTGGAAGAATAGGAGGGATTGAGGTCAATCACTGGCACTTTTTTATTTTATTTTAAATGGTACACTTTATGTTGAACTATTTATTACGTTGTTGGTGCAACTGGCACTTTATGTTGAACTGTTTATTGTTTTGGCCAAGGTTATTGAGAGAGTTGGACTGAAATGGATTAGATTTTTTAAATCAACTGTTGGTAAATCAACAAAGTCTGTTATGGCCTCTGAAGCAACAGAGAGATGTTTTCTAATAGTCAGGGTTTCCAATGTTCTGAATGTACTTGAAAGTATTGTGTTTTACTTAAAAAACAAAGTGTTATAGTTTACAGAAGGTCTACCTACCTATAGGCTACCTGAATCTCTGAAATGTACTATATTCCTAAATATGCTATTGCTACACTTTATGGCAAAAATTGCACTTTTCTGTTGGTCTTGGTTAAGAACCACCTTGAAAAAAATAAACAATGTTTTGTTGCTTAAGCTTATGTATTCAGTCATTATTCAATGGTATACTAAAATCCATGTGAAAAAAATTGCTTCTCACTGTTCTCAGGTCAGATATTTATATGTGATTAAAAATGCGATTAATTAATTAAAAAGCCTGTAATTAATTAGATACATTTTTTTAATCGAGTCCCGGCCCTATTAGTAATATCAGCCAAACAATATACGCAACAGAAACAAACTAGTTTTACAAATTCAACAACAAAACGTCCTCTGTTTTAATTTTTTTAAATGTCGCATTATTCATTTTTATTTCGGGTTATTTATTTGTTTATTCTCGCATTTTTCATAAAGTACTTAACTTTTTGAAAATGCGTTATTTAAAAAAATGTAAACTTTATTTGGTATGAATGATACATTTTTCGTAAATTACCCAAACAATTTTTTAATGACATATTTTTGTAAAATGACTTAAAGGGAGGGTAGGTAAGAATGTGGAAACCAGCTCGAGTGCGCTAGAATTTGAAAGTACGCAGCCGAAAAAAAACCTGCCCCTTCCTTCAGACTTCCTTCCAGAGCCCCTCCTCCAACACACATGGATGGAAGGCTGACAGGCAGGTAGGCCATCCAGTTACTATAGCCGGGCCGGCTCAGATGATTGGTCGTGCTTTTTACAGCGCTACGGCTTCCACAGATGAAATGTTTGTATATATTTATTGTCCAAGCATTTCATATATTCATTGCTATCGGGATGTTAAGAGCATTCCATGGAATATAACAAAAAGTGTTTCTGAAGGGAATTACCTCCCCCACCTTTAATGTTGGAAAAAATACACAACTTTAATGTTTTAAAAAATTACCGTTAATTTTCAGAAGGGTTAGGAAAATGTCTTCTATGTCTATGACTTCATGTTAAAACAAATCTGACCTAATATTGAACCGCAGCCTGCAGCTCATGGCGTGACGGTTGCTTTCGGTACATCGAAATCTGAATCAAGCAGCGTTCCTAAAACAAATCGGATGTGAGTTCCCACACAAAGTAGAGTCTCTCTGAGGCTCTGATGAACAAAGAGAAGCCCCATGGATTCTCTGATACTAACGGGTTAGGGAACGGTCATTCTGATTTCGGTTCAAATGCCGGATTTTTTTTGCAAAATGCCGGATTAACAAAAAAATATGATATATTTTCTTTTTTCGTAAATTACCCACATTTTTTTTAGTGACGTATGTTTTGGAAAAATGACTTAAATCTGGGAAAAATCACAATAACTTTAATGTATATACAAATAAACCTTAATTTACAGAAATTACTTAATTATTTAAAACATTTCCTCTATTTTTAATCCCCTATGACTTAATGTTTAAAAAAACAAATGTATTTTACGAATCCGACCTAATATTGAACCGCCGCCCGGAGCTCATGGCGTGACGTTTGCTTAATTTCCACAAATTACTTAAATATTTGAAAATATACTTTAAAAACTACTTAATTTCTTTCAAACAAAATTAACTATTTTATTTTTAAATATCACATTTTTCTAAATTCCCTCAGCAAATAATGTGATGATTATTATTCAATAATATTGTCCTGAGCTCAGAGAGACCTGCAGAATGTTGGCCACTTGAACCAGTTATTAGTAATTAGGGCCGGGACTTTAACGCGTTAATTAAGATTAATTAATTACACAAAAATTAACGCGTTAAAAAAATTAACGCATTTTAATCGCACTTATTTTTGCACCGCGGAACGTTTCTCACTGGATGAGTTTCAGGGGTACCGATTATACTGGAGCACCAACTAACGTTCATGACTTCAAACAACAACAAACCACAGTGAACAATAGTCAAACATGAACGAAGAAGCTGATGAGACCGCTTTGGTGTGGTTTGTTGTTGTTTGAAGTCATGAACGTTAGTTGGTGCTCCAGTATANACAGACATGTTTTGTATAGGTATGGCCCTACAATATATGTTTCCAATATAGCATAATAGGTCCACTTTAATTTACATCAGAATCAGATTTTTTTTTTTTTTTTTTTTTTAATAATGGGACACAGGGTTCGGTCCGGATTGATTTGCAGTTCGGTCCGGATCCGGATCTTGGTCCGGAGTTTGAGAAGCCCTAGTATACAGAGTGTAGGGCTGGTCTGTGTTGCAGGGCCCCTTATGAACACCAGGGGGAGCCCAACTCCAAAAATAGACAATTCTCACAGAAAATAATCGATAGTCAACGCAGGTCATTGTCATTGTACATTACCTCAGATACCCGGCATGCTTTGTGTCCAACGGCTCCCGCTCGTAGAAGTGTCCTGCTAAACAAGTATAAAGTGTGTGCATTATATGTGGTGGGGCCTTTGGCACATTTGTTCACAGTCAGTATGTCAGTAAATACCCCCACTCGTGATTTGTAAAGCCTTTGTGTGTCAAGTGCCTAATGTTATATATTTATTTCTGTCGATTGCATTGACAAAAAATCATAAATGTTGTGTACATTAGTAGATTATTGCAACAGAGCTTTCGACATTAATCGAAAATACAACACATACATCTAATTATATTTCTTTGTCAAGGAGCAAGCGTGAAGCCAACTTCAGAATTGGTCTAAAATAATATGCCATCACTCTATTTATTATAAATGCCATCAACAAGGTCACAATAGATGAGACATACAGTATTTAAAACAAACCCAAAACAAACCCAAACTATTAAACTGTGAGCCACAATATTTAAATGTTACGAGGGACTTTACTCAATTATATGTACAGAAAACAGCTTTAATTAATTCTCGGAATGACAGTTTATTATAAATTCAGCTAATTTCAAAATTAGACAAATCAAGAAGCATAGGCTGATCCAAACAGGATGACCTGCTGTTTCAAGTCCATGTGCAAAAACAACTGCAGCTGATCAGTATCAGATGCACCTAACAGTCCCGACATGTTATATCATACATATGATATATATATTATCAACCAACACAGCCATTAAGTGTCCGTCCTGTTAGTATTCTCTTATCTGAGGATTTACAACAGTAAAAGCACCAGTATGTTTGTGTATCTTGGCATTGAGCTTTCGTCCCAAAAACAATAAGCTGAAAAAAGTGCAACAACATAATATCAAATATATCTTAATAAGGCTGCAACTAAGAATTAATTTCATTATTAATGCCCATTTTTGTCTAGATTAATTAATTAATCACTTCGTCTGTTCAAATGCTAAAATGTGCGATACTGTGAAAAATGTGCATTGTAGTTTATTAGGGGTCTAAAGTGAGGTCATTAAATGTCTTGTCAGATAAAAAACAATGTATGTAAGTAATGTAAGTCTAATGTTATATAAAACAGAGAAGAACAGGAAATCTCCATATTTGAGAAGCTGAAAACAGGATTATTTTCAATCCTCCAATAGTTGCAGCTCTAGATTATAAAACACACACTCAGGAACTGTGGCAGCATTGCCTCTCGTTGTGAACCAGCTATATCTTTCTTAAAAGCACCTTTAAAATGTTTAAAAATGATAAAATCCCTAGTACAGTCTTCACCAACAGCAGTCACATATCGCAGTGTGTGCTCTGTAGGTCCGTTGTGTCTTTGCTTGTTGACATAAATCTTCACAACACTTCAGTGTCATCCTGCATTTGAGGCTGAGGTGTCACAGCTCACAGACTGTATGTAAGATCACAGCTCATATGTTTTCCTGCTGTTTACAGAGCAGAGGGGAAGCTCCCAGCTCCACTATCACTAATAGTTGGATCTTTGGTGGTTTATGTTGATTCCATCCAGTGTATTTCTTTTAATTGTTTTCTCTTCATCCATCTGCCTGCCGGCCTCTCTGTATATTCCTGTGACTATCATCCTGTTGAATTGTGCGTCAGTAATATCTGTTGAGGCTTTGAGTGACTGTACTGATGTCTGGTTGTCCGTTCATCCAGATCTCTCTGAGAATCCGTTCCCGCTCTTCTAGCCTCTGGGTCCGGTCCAGATCTGACAAATCACACAGAAACACACACACAGAAACACAAACACACACATAGGGGTTAAAGCACGGCCATATGATGTCTATTTGCATAACCATCAACTTTCACATCACAGACTATTTCAAAGGATGAGCATGACAGCAGTGCTTATAAAGATACAAAGTCTGTGCGTGAGTATTAATGTACACTGACACAGTATCTTTAAGACATAAAAAAAAACGCCATTCATATTCAACATCTGTCATGTTAAGCCTCTCTAGCATAAGTAGAAGCACAGTTTTTGCTGCGCGTTGATATGGTGGTATTTCAGTAGTTTGGTAGAAAGAAGATAGTTCCTATGTGAAACTCACAACACGGTCTGTCGATTATTTTGAAAATCTGGGTCATGATTTCTGGAAAAACACTTTCCTGTTGCATTTTTCGAATGTATTTGTATAGTGCCATGTAGTTCCATCATATTTGAGAGAAGGTGTTTGGACCCCAGGGAGAAGAGCAACAACTTTGTGGAAGCTAATGGGGGTCCAAATACGGGGAAAATATATTAAGGGGCCTATATTTTGGGTTTTCCCTTTCCTATAGTGTGTCTCTTATATAGTATAGGTTTTTGTGCATGTAAATAGTCTGCAAAGGCTTGACTCACAAAGTTCCCTCCATAGGGAGTTTCTCTCTCACACACTCCCCTCCCTGCCTTAAACACCCCCATTGTACTCCTTTCTTAACTTCAGTAACATAATGACATCACTATGTATGATTTTTTCCTTTAATGGTCTTAATATGGGACATGACTATATAAGTGTGTGTCTGTGTGTAAGATACCCTCAGCTGATGTAAACATGGTGGCGTTCAGTAGAGCTCTCTCAAAGCGTCTTCGTCTCCGTGCCGACAGGTCAGACGTCTCGTCCCAGTCCTCTGATTCGCTGTCGCCGGTGGGCCCGGGGCCTCTGACCGCAACAACAGCAGTGCTGTCTGGATTGTTTTCAATGGCCGGATGGAGGGGGCAGCTGCGATGTCGATGATGAAGATGATGATTATGATGAGGATGATGCCTGGTCCTGTGGCGATGGTGCTTACTGTTGCCGATGTGACAGTCTGCTCGACAGTGTATCTGGAAGACGATGGTGCAGAGTGTGAGGAGAAGGCCGACACACACACTGCCCAGAAACACCAAGGCTGTCCTCTCGGGTTGGTCTAAGAGAGGAAAAAAACGTTTTGATACCCAAAAAGGTTCTTCTTCTGCACTTTTTGTATGTTGTTTGCAATCATCTGTCCACTAGTTTACACTGTTGAGTTTTCACCCTTTCCTGTTTCTTCTCACCTGATCCCACCTGTGTCTTTTTGTTAGTTTGTTTGTAACCTCTTCAGCCAACTACATGCTTCCTGTTCGCCTGCTGCCTGATAGAAATAAGTTTTCTTACTGCAGATCTGTTCCCTACTTGCTCATTAGATAGTTATCTAAAGTATGTTCGTTGGCCAAAACTTGAAATGTATAGAAACGTTTGGTCTCATTTTGAACCAGATCTGTAATCTGCAGATTTATTTCATACACGATATGTCATAAACCACATAACTAAGGCACGATACGGGATGAATAAATCTTCTTTTTGCTACGTTTTCCACCATCGTGACAGTTAAGGAGCCGGGAAAAACTAATGAATTAGGGTTAACCTTTTCTTTGTTCGGGAGGGGAGAGGCAGAAACACCTGACAGAGATCTTCACTTTTCTAGTTTGATTATTTGTTCAAATTGAGGATTTTAAATTTAGGTTATTAAGTATTTTTTTTAACTAAGGTCAACTGTTAGTCAAGAGTGGTCCAAGAGTTAGACAATCGATATTATCCCCTGGATGGAGAACAATGCCTTTCCCTTACCTCTTATCTTTAAGCACAACAAAAGTATAATGATGATCTCACACAGTGAAGCACACCTGCAATGAAGGTGTACGCTGCCAGGATGTTGCTAAGCAGTGCCATCTCCTGGTAGCCCACCTTCACTTCCATGTTTGGGGTTCCTGACGTCGGGGCGCTCATGATTTCAGCCACTTGAGCCTATTGTTTTCTCCTGCAGAGATCAGTGGAGCTCATACTTCATGCCTCCCCTAGACAGAAGTTAGAAATTATAGCATGTCAGGATATCCACAATGCAATATAACAACAGAAAGCCAAACAAAAAAGACTTAGGACATGAAAGCATATCAGGGTAAAAAAAAGGTCAATAAGAATACAAAAGAAAAGAATAAAAGCAATAAATAGATAAATGACAAAAGCAGGTCTATAATGAGTTGTAAGAAGAGATGTAACAAAGGTCACAGATTCAGTGAGCCTCATCAGGTCAGTTGTTCCAAAGTTCAACTTGATGGCAAAAGCAAAGTGGCCTTAAGATTTAGTGCCTGAGGATCTGAGGCTGAAAACAAACACATACCGTATGGAGTCAACATTTGCACTTAGTCAATATGACCTTAAAGGTAGGGTTGGTAAGAATGGAGAAACCAGCTAGAGTGTGCTAAAATTTGAAAGTACGCAGCCGAAAAAAATCTGCCCCTTCCTTCAGACTTCCTTACAGAGAGAGCCCCTCCTCCAACACACACGAACGCGCACATGACCAGTGAGGGCGCGAGATAAGTTTGTGCACGAGATGGAAGGCTGACAGCCATGTAGGCCATCCAGTTACTTTAGCCGGGCCGGCCCAGATGATTGGTCGTGCTTTTTATAGCGCCACGGCTTCCATAGATGAATTTTTTTCATGTATTTATTGTCAAAGCATTTCATATGTTCATTGCTATCGGGATGTTAAGAGCATTCCATGGAATATAACAAAAAGTGTTTCTGAAGTGAATTACCTACCCCCCCTTTAATGTGGGTAAATGTTTATTTTCAGTCTTAGACAAAAACATTAAGAAATCACCTATGATGTAAAAACAGATATTTTTTAAATGAAGATGATGGTTATCCTGGAACTCTTTGAAGGTGTTACAGCCCTGTGTTATTCATGTGAAACCACCAGCGCTAATTTTAAATGATTCAGACTCAGTGTTGACATATTGAAATGTGTTTTAAGAAATGTAGAAATTTGTATTTAACCATAACTAAAACTTGTCTTAGAGGTGATGAGAGAGGATGAGTTATTTGTAGTATAATTACAGTCTACTAAGAAAAGTTGGACGCCTTACACTTTAATACATCGTTTTTCACTTTCGCTGTGGATACAAACATGCCTGAGCTGTTCGCCTGCAGGGACTTTTCCCTGTCAGTCACATGCCAATATTTAAACACACATACTTTAAAGCAATTATGTATGGTTTCATACAATGGTTATGCATTGACAGTTGTCAAAAACAACAAACAGTATTGAATGCATTGGCAAATTACACCTTTTCAATAATATCAACTTTAGGAGTCTCCACAAGGAGGGAAATGAAGAAAAATAGATAGATGACACATTTAGGAAAACTTTTTGCAAATGTTTTTCCTCATGGGTGTACAAACAGAGAATGCATTAACCCCCTCTAGACTGCACACACAATATGTGTGGCGGTGGTGGCAAAGTCGATAGGGGAGTTGGCTTGGCAACTGGTCACCAGTTCAAATCCCGGCAAGACCAAGTGCTACCGAGGTGTCCCTGAGCAAGGCTCCGTTCCCTACACTGCTCCCCGGGCGCCGTTCAAAATGGAAGCACACTGCTCCTAACACTAGGATGGGTCAAATGCAGAGAAACAATTTCCCCACGAGGGATTAATAAAAGTCCATCTTATCTTATACGCCTTTGAGAAAAACTAAAATAGTATATATCTTGGACATTTTACAAGAAAAATGGTAGGCTTAAACTAAACCCAATCCTAGACATTATCCTCCAGAGCATGGATGGATTTCTGAAAGCGTCTACACAGCACCATGCGCTCAAAGAACAAGGGTCCCCTCTGGCAATAATTTACAAAATGTAACTTTTAAAAAAATGGGCAAGGCATATTATTCATGCATGACTCACTTATAAAAATCAATGAACTAAATATTAGATTGTCAATCTACATTATGCCTATACTACCTAAACAGTTATTTACTATCTTTCTCTCACAAGCATCAGGTATCAAGTTTGTTGCCATTAGCTATATTAGTAGGAAACACTGTAGAGTGGCAACTTCCTGCCATGACCTCCTGGCTGTCCTGTGGTGAGGTTGTATTTTATCCCTGTGTCATTAACCTTCACACACATGTTAACTACTGAAGTGAAATGTTTTTTAGTAGAAAGTCAAGAAAAGGTAACGTAGCAGGTCATTGTCTCTTACATGATCCACTAGGTGGCAACAAAATGCCATCAGCCAAACCAACGTTTTAAATAGAAATCAAGATGTACTGTAGCTGACCTTGCTAGTGGACACACACTCAGGAGATAGAAGATACTGGTCTGCTGTGCCTCGATTTGTTTATGTTACCGTGTGATTTTCGCAGACGTTATTTTGAATTCACCAAAGTCACACAATGAAACAAACACACTAACCAGCTGAGGTTAGTTGAGCTACTGTGGTACAATGAGGGATAGTGACCTCATACAACCCCCTTTTTTAACAATTCAAGCTATCCCTTTATATTAAGGCACTGACCTGAAAAAGGTACATGGTCATGATGAAGACATTTTTTGTGGGCCTGGACGTATTTATGTTCTTATCTCTGAGACAAGAACAGTATCAACCAATACAACATACCACACCATTTATTGCCAACACTTATTTGCAACACCCAGGTTAAATGTAGAGTAGAGATACAGACACATATTTGTGTACAGTATTGTGTCTTGACATGCAGCCCCACACCCAGAGGGGGAGTCCCCTATACACACTCAGAATTACCCCTTCAGTGTGTGAGGGTGTGTGGTATTGATAGTTGTGATAATACATATAAAGCATATTTCACTTTAGAGCTACAGACTGGGGAGGAGGGTATAAAGAGTAACAGAGCTAAAGTCCTGGAGTACGGAGATCCTTTACCTTCTATATCACTTTACAAGAGTTTTAATATCTCACAATACATCCTTGTTTGAAGAGTTTGGCTCATTGGTCAGCTGCTATCTTGTACGTGAAGATAACGTAAAAATCAAAATCATTATGATATATTTGAGGGTTCATAAGATGATTATTAAAATATAGAAAAAACATTTATTCTTTTATAAATCTATGATATTTCTTCTATTTCTATTTCAATATTAGGTCGTTTTTTAAAATGTGCTATATAAATAAATAAAGATTGAGATTGAGATTCCTCTGCCCTGAATTACTTTTATTGGCTTTATCTGCAAAGGTGCACTCTAAGCAATATTTACACAGATGAGTGACATTCTGTGCTCAAAGCGTGTCTCTATAATTACTCTATAATTTGTGAAGCCCCACGGCTGACATTCTTCACTAACATTTCATAATGTTCACATCCAAAACTTCTGAATCTGTTCTTCCAAATGAAATGAATCTATGTGAGCGTTAATAATGTTATGAAAGTACAAACAGTGAGGCAGGGCTAAAAGGACACTGATATTGGTTTTCTGTTTTTGTCGACCATTTTTTATTTCATGAGCATGTTTTGATTTCCCCAGCTGACTGCTATAAAACGCTCATCTCATGTTATTATGTCCTCAATGGGTGTTGATGAGACTGATTTCTTCATTAAAGATTGTATCAATGATTGCAAATAGGTCTAATCACTTTATGAAGTAAGACCAGGCTTCACCGATTATTAGGTTGAAAAATAAATGTTTTAACCCCGAAAACACTATCTTTAAATAATGAATAGTGCAGTCGGAAAAAGTTTAAATTGAGCAAAAAGTCAAAAGGGACCAAAACGTTCACGTAGTATACTCTCATGTTGTGAGGCTTTAAAAACAGATTAAAAATGGATGAAGCTCTCAGAGAATTTCAAACTGCCCCATTATTTGTTTGTTTTCACTCTTGACATGCAAGTAGAAACCGAGATCTTAATAAAGAACAAATCTGCATTGTGTTTGTCACATTAGTGAAAACAAGTGCACTGTCAAATGTATTAATGTCTAATCTTCACACAATCATTGGAATAAAAACATTGGGCCTGAAATTATGTCAAAAAGCAAACACAGTAAGTGCAGCAGGAAACAACAACAATGACCACAGATTGCATGACATTGCAGTTCGACATAACACAACCCAACAACACACACCTGCGAGCTATTCCAAACGCACTGACTGTCAGGGTCATTTTGGGATGTTGCGTGTAAATGCTGCAGCACGTGACTGTCCCCCCCGCTCCTTCCTGTTCCTGCTCTTACTCTCTCTTTTAGTCTTCTTGATTTGTCAATTGAGGTTAGTTGTTTGCAGCAAAAAGCAAGCAGTATTCAAACCATAGACTTTGATTCAAACAACGAAAAGAAATCTCAGTTAAGTATGTTATCAACATGCTTTTTAATTTCAACAATCCCGCTTCGTTTTTTGTTGGTTTTTTATTCATTACGTAACTGCATCCAAACAACATTTCAACAAGTGCGAGCAGACAACACATTAAAAGATAAACTGTCTCCACAGGTAAGTGTAGTAAAAACTTGTGCCAAAATGTACTATCAAGTAGCTGAACACTGTAGTTATGTAAGGACTTCATTATGAGACCTGGCCTTCAGCCAGCTCATTACAGCCGCTACGACAAGAGTCTAGATCCCAGGAGCTTTTTACACTGATGACATGACTACTGTATTATGCATGAGAGGACTTATCATTCATTGTATTAATCCATGCATGTGACTGTCTAACCAAAACGTTTTTTCCAAATAATTCCTTTATGGTTGAGGAATTTAAGAAGTTAGATAAAAAGTTGGGAATCATTGTTGTGTCTGTCTGGTAAATATGAATCTAAAGTATTAGTCGCATGATAGTATTATCTGGGGATCTACAGGATTTGTAATAGTTGTCTAATAGTCACGTTATCTTTGATCTTAAACTGTACAAGAACAGAACTGCAGGTAAGAAACTACAATTGGCATACATGCTAAACTATTTCTTGTCTAGGATCAGTATCTTCATGGAGACTCTGCAACCGGTCATGGTCAAGAAATAGTCCTACAGCTCCCTGAAATACACTGAATTGTTTTTTTGTTTTTCTTTAAGATTACTTTTTGGCCTTATTGCATTTAATTAGTACAGCTAAAGAAGACAGGAGAGCGGATGACATGCAGCAGATTTGGACACGTGCAGCTGCTACTCTTACGCTTACTGGATGGGCACTTACTTGTTTTTTGTACAAACCCGACAAGATGCATTTAACTGCCTATTTATTAAAAACATTTTTAAAATAAATAAAATACATGTATTAATTAATTAAGTCTGCATTCGTTTTAGTTAGGTGTACAACAGAAACTGAGTATACACATGTATATTTAGTGAGCTTTACAGGCAGGTGGATTTTTAACAGAGACTGGCTGGTTTTTTCCAGCCTTAATGCTAAGCTAAGCTATCCATCTGCTACTTGCAACATGCATGAATACAAATGAGCACATTGTCCAAAATGTGGAATTTAATTTACACAAGAAAATTAAATTAATCAGGTTTATCGCTTTATGGCAATTCAGATGGTTAAAAAAAGTTCTCAGCCACAGAAAAATAACAATAATTGGACATGCATGCTTTCTTTGTTCATTTTGTATCATCCAATGTGTTAGTTTCTGCTACATTATTAAAGACTAGATCCAAAATCCCAACAGGAAGAGCCAAATACTTTCGCTTCTTCTTCGTTATATTTATTCCCCTCACTTTTTCTGTCTGTCAGCGCAGTCTGGCCAAATTATTATGTGGCACAATGGCTCTTTGTTTTTATACTCCATGTGATTAAGAGGACTGTATGGTACGCCTGCTTCATTCATAATCATGCTACAGACAGACAGACAGACAGACAGACAGACAGACACACACACACACACACACACACCCCCACCCCACAGGAGATACTCCACACATTGTTCATGTGCGCTTATCACACTTTGAGCGTATTACTCCCTGCGTGTGCGTTTGTGTAATTCTAATGCAATGTGACACTGTCCTTTCCCTCCGCTGCTTCACCGTCCGATACTATCTAACATGACCTGCAGAGAGAGTACAGAGATAGAGAGGGAGACCGTCTGTACACAGAAATAGAACATAAAGACAGAGTGAGAGAAAAACAGAGCTGGAAAGTGTAAAGATATTCAACAGGGAGAAAGGGTAATGATGTATGGACGAGAATAAAGTCATTCTCCCTACAACGTACGACCCTTCACATCATTAACAACACTGACACCCCAATCATCATCAGCAGTATTAACCTCAACAACTCACGCACGTGCAAACACACTATTTATACTTACATTTCATTAATGCCAAGATCCCATCTGGAGTGTGTTTACTCCTCTCCCCTCCTCTCCTCCCCTCTTGTCTCCTCTTCTTCCTCCTCCTCCTCTCCTTCCTCTGCTCTGGTCCTCTCCTCTCTCTGCTCTGAGCTCCTCTGCTCTCTACTCTCTCCTCCCCTTTGCCTTTCCCTCAGAAAAGAACAAAAACACTAGGCGTATAATTAAATGAATAAATCTTCTGCGTCCTCCCACAGTTGTCAAATATTCACACATATACAAGGACTGCTCTCCTCTTCACTTTCTTACGTTAATGCAAATTGAAAAATGTTCATACATTCTTCCTTTCAGCCGCTCTTTCTTTGATGCCGAGGCAGCAGGAGGGATGTTGCTCACACAGTTTTGCAGAGAGGAGTTTTCTGATGTTCCATTTGAGTTTTTCCAGTTTATTTTCCACACACAGGGAGACAGGGGTCAGTTCCTCAGGGCAGAAATGTGACATGAAAGACCCCGACAAGTCGGCCAAATCCCTGTCTTCTCTTCCTCCCTCTCCCTCTCTCTATCTCACACACACACACTTTAGCAAGAACACACACACAGTCACACTCGTGCATAGTCGTCAATTCAGAATCGCTGCCTCTTTCTTTCACGCAGAATGCTCAGTAGCAGGAGGAGAGAGAAAAAGGAAGGGAAAGAGGGAGGGACAAAGTGACAAAATGCCTCACATCATAACAGTCGGATTTTTGAAATCTGAAAATTTTAATATTTTTCACGTGTAATGCTGGAAAACCACATGTGTCTTTATTTGAATGTAGCTACATGTGCCAAATGTATACACTACCACACACAAAACGGTGCTTAACATGATCAAATAGTACTTATTCAGCCGCTTTCAAAATCAGTGCATTGTTCATAACCTTTTGTTTGTATTATGAATGTTTCTGAATTGACTTTCTAACTGCATGTTTACACACACTGATGCAAGCTGCTGCTGTTACTACTTTGATATTTCAAGTTGCGAGTGCGTGTGTGTGTGTGTGTGTGTGTGTGTGTGTGTGTGTGTGTGTGTGTGTGTGTGTGTGTGTGTGTGTGTGTGTGTGTGTGTGTGTGTGTGTGTGTGTGTGTGTGTGTTTGAATACATGTTAAGGAAACATGGGGATGATGTTTCAGTGCTAAATCAACACTTTCCTAAAAATACATTCATATCATATACTGTTTATGAATTCTTTATCAGCCGACCTGTCATGTTGGCAGGTTATTTTCGTGCTGATGTTACGCAACTGAGAAAGCTCCTGCAGTTATTCAGGGCAACCGCTCTCAACAGGTGTTTGACAAAAACACTCAAACTTTGCTTTTAGGTCAAACATGAACTGCTGCTTTTGGGTGCACTTTGTATACAATGAAAGCAACAAGGGTGAGCTACTTTTAATATAACGCACACATTTGTCAAAAGAAAACAACGTTACTGAAGAGAAAACATTACAACTGCAATATTTTCTTCATGGTCTTTTTATTTCCTAAGCAGAATTAAAATGTATTAAACAGACTTATTTCTTTCCTTCACTCTACACTATGAGAGGGTTACTGTATCACAAAATAAAAGAGTAATTAATAAGAAATAGTTAAAGGTCATCTGCAAATCTTACAATCCACCCCAATTCACATTATCGCAATATCACATTGCAGTTCTTTCTGATATACAGTAGGTGTGTGTTGACTTGCATATGTCACATCTGTATTTTTTGTTGCTGTGCGATGCAGTATAAACCGGCTGCTGCTTTTACAAAATAATTTCCCATTTTGAGGTAATAATGCTGTCAGTCAAATTCATCTCTAACGTTCTGTATTGTGAATATTGTTCCTCTATGGCAAATCAATTAAATCATCAAAATCATAATGTGTAGTAACATAACATTTCCTTTTTGAATTATTATGGTTATCAACAATACTGGTACATTTAATGAAACCCCAGTAGCACCAGAGGGAAAGTCACATGATCACCAACATCATCTGGAGACCATGCATGTGTGTGAAAAAAGTCATAGCAATCAATGCAATATTTTCCAGTAATATTTCAGTGTTGACCAACCAAAGCACATCTTTTAGAAGACTATTATATTTTTATATGAAGGTGGACGCAAAAAAAAAACGTACAAAAACAAACATTTAAATAATAATGAAAATATCCTTTAGGGCAAATTGGAGATCATTCCTTATTGACACTACCATCGTCACGTGATCAGGATTGTTATTCACACATTAAAAATAAATGCAGAATGAACAACATATGCAACACTTACCATTCATAATGCATCCTTTTCTGCACCTCCAGCCTGGTGTGATGAAATATTAACACTGTGTTTTCTGTGAGGAATTGTTATCAGTCACCTCTGAAATAGCAAGGGACAGGAGTAGTGAGTGTCAGACGCAGGGCGGGAACACTGGACTAAATAACAGTACAGCCTTTGCTCCTCTGGTAGGTCCTTTCATTATTCATGACCCAAGAGGTGAACAAATGTGGGTTCAAATCCATCAGAAAAATAAAGTGCCGTCAGCACTAACTCAGTGGTGAAATTAATGTATTTACTCAAGCAGAGTCCTTACAGGATGATGCTATCAATGTTTCATACTTTTATTTTTTTTAGTTCAAATCAACTTTAAATCTAGGGAGGTTACTTCTGAGTAACTTTATGAGGAATTTTATTGTTTGAAATTATACAACCGGGAAAAAAAAAAAACAGTATTGCAAACCACTTGTTCAATTGCAGTAGCTAGCAGCACTAGCCGGGGAAGTGGCTTTAATCTTGCAAAAATGTCCCTATATGGAAACACATGACAGCCCATCTCTTCAGGCCTTTCTCTAAAGCCACTCCCCAAAATTAGTGAACGTAAAACAACAAACATGGCCGTTGTGAATACTTACAGCTGGTAAGCTAGCAGCTTGTGGAAGACTCTGGTCACCTTCAGTGAGACGACAGACAGTGTGTTCAGGTCGGCTGTCCCATTATACAATTCAACCCGAGCAAACTGGCGAACGCAAACACTCTAAATGAATAATAAGGTTGCTTTGTATCTTCTAATGTTTCATTAGTTATGTTGGAGGTTCATGATACAGAAGCTTTTCTTTTCTTAATATTGTATTCATCTTAATAAAGGTTTGGTAGGGGCAGACAAACGACATAAATAGCAAAGGGGGTGACAGCCAGGTAAAGAGTGAGATACAATATAAAAGAAAAGTGCAGTAAAGCAGAAGAAGAGTAGTTTGAAGGCAGAAGGAAAGAAAAACATAGACAGAAGGGACAACACACGGAGAGACAGAGAGGGGGAGAGCAGCGAGGATGAGTCTGAGAGGCCCTCAGTTCCACTTGACTCAGTCATGGGAATGATTTGATTTTCACCACATGAACAGCCGTCTTATGTAACACACACACGCACACCAACACGCACAGACCAAAAATAATGAGGGGTCTTGCTCTGGCCAAAAACCTACACTGAGCAAAGGTGGCCTGTAGCAACAGAGAACTCACAGGCAGGGTCATCTGTTCCCATTGTCAAATAAATAAATATAAAAGTAAAATGCCCCAAGGTTTTGTAATTAATATTCAAGAGATAACAAATACAAATATACAGTGGTAGTAGTGCAGGGGTGTCAAACTCAATTTCATCAGCATTATGGTTGCACTCAGGGACGTGCACAGACATTTGGAGGGGCTATTGCTCTAAACTGGAAAAAGGGCCTTGTTTTTAATGTAAAAGGTTCATAAAATAAAAACACAACACTGTCATTGCAATTGACACTCATTTGACTTTTATATCCACTGCTAAATTCGTTATTCAGACACATTTTTTGTTTTTCGGTCTCATTAAAATATTTAATGTTAGTAACTATTAAAGAAAAAATGGGGACAATCCTGTTTTAATGTAGTTTGACCATTGTAACTGCTGTGCAGACATAGACTACTGATAAAATAGGGCTTGTAACTAATTACCTTAAATAAAATCACTAATTAATTAAACCAGTTCAAGACGCATTATTCTTATTCTTATCATTCTTTATGAGCGCAGTGACGGTAGGGTATCTAATTACTTATTTATTTAGTATTCCATAACTTAATAACAGAGATGCTCAAACTAAAGTGGTAGAGACATGGCAGAAATCCTACAATGAAGCGGGACAGTGAAGTGTTCTCCTGAGAGGGTGATCAAGAGAAGAGAGCGAGCGGCCCCGTTGAGGGAGTTTACAGATGAAAAGACACAGAAACGCCAGGCAGGCATTTGGTGTGATCACCATAGCCATATGAGGCCGGAGGGCTTTCCTTTGCTTCCAGCTGTCAGATTGTAAACAAAGTCACATGACTGGGCGCAGATGACAGCGCTGACAAGGTGTGTTTCCTGCAGCGAGACGCTACAATAATTGTGGGCTTATCATGTTGATTCGGCCACAATAGAAAAAAAAAACTCTCGCTCTCTCCAGAGGGGCAGGTCAGACAAAAATGGCAAACGGGCTGTTGCCCGGGCAACATTAGCCCGTACCTGTGCACGTCCCTGATCCTGCCTATCTCATAAATACAAGTACAGACCTAAACCCTGACTGGTAATCGACTCAGTTCTTTATGTAGGCTAATCCACTTTCTGCCTCTGGCTCATCGTGTACTCACATGTTCGTGTAGGGCTCGCAGACAACATTATTTATGCAGCATTTAAAGGACTCTATAATTTAAGATGAGGGGAGAGTCTGCAGTTCAGCGGCTCAGAAAGACTTCAACTCCCAGAGGCCTTTAGAGGCGTTTAGCTGCGTGGAGACAACTCAGCTTTCTTTGCACACTTGAATGAATCCTGCTTTACTAATAACTTTATTGTGAAAGAATATTGGGATAAGTGTACGAGGCACTTTCTGAAAGCAACCAACCTCACGTTATAAAATTAAACTTGTAATGTCATGGTGTATTCTCTTACAATTCTTTAAAACTTCTTAATTAATTTTTTTTTTTAAGTGTGTCCTCAATAATCGAGCTAATAACAACTTTTCTTTACTGTCATATAGTATTTTATACCTGTTTACTTTATTGCTTACTTTTATGGGTACTGCCATTTTTGGAAGTGCCGGAGCAGCGTTCCGGTG